TTATGTTTTAAATCTTAAATTTCAGTTAATTTATTAGTTCGAAACATGAAGTTTAGAGAAGACAGGAAGCAAACAAATATCAGAAAGTGTGGATTGCCAAAAAAAACTCCATCAAAAAATTGAATATCAATGTTTAACTCAAAAACAATCATTGTCTAAGAAAAACGAATACAAATAGTCGAAACTTTTGTGACTTTCAAACAATTTTGTCCGCAGATATTCAACTGGAACCCTGCGTTCTACAATGACTCTGACTCCTTCCGGGGACAATATGCCCGACACCTTCAGAATCATATCATTCCCTGAAGCAGCAGAACAGCAAAGAGGTAAGTCATGAAGCCACTTCAAAAGCTCTCAATAATATTCAAGTGCAATTTACAACAATGGACAAATAATTTATATTCTCAAAACAAGATATATACAAAATAGTTTTTAATAATTTCAATAATTTTAATCACACAACCATCAATACAATTCAACTTCGCAATCAAGACAACGATAAGATCTTCACGGCTCATGAAAATTACGGCTCATGAAAATTAGTTATAGAGCACACATCTTAGTGATATTTAATTGCAAAAACGTAGTGGCAACCTGATAAACCCATTTAATTACCAAAATAAGTATTCTGCAAATACATTTTTGTGAGCGGACTAGGGATCGAAAATTGTTTGATGAATGTGAAGTTCGTAGAATTATTTCAACTAAGCTGACAGTTCTCTCTGAACGTAGTTCTGGATACAACAAAAGCTGTGTCAAGCTGACACCCAATGACGCTGGCTCGGATGCTAATATCGCGAAGGAAGGGGAAACTAATGAAGAGACCTGCACGTAATAGAGGAATTGAAAATGTTTCTGTAACAGTGTTCCAAAAATAATTCAGAACGTGGTGATAAGGGATTAAAAAGAGATCAAGTATTTTTAAACATTATTTTAATAAGAATACATATATTCTTTAACTTACTACAGCAATAAAGTTCATCACTCACTGAAGAGATACGTTCGTCTTATACGGCCATTTTAGTCATATAAACATAACTTAGAATATGGTCCACCAGGGGCGTAACGTAAAAATTCGACCACCGTAGTAGATCGCTCTGGAACCTTAACATCGAGGGTGTGAGTAGAGCAGGGCTCAGTCTGAATCGTGATAGAATCAATTTGCAAAGTCGATTCAGCGGTCTTGGTGGTGGTGATGGAAGTGGGGCTGGGCAAAAGTCTTAAACGTGAATTTCTACATGTATATTCGTGTCATATACGATTTAGATGACAAATTTCTGCATTAAATGCTGTTAATTTTGAAAACGTGAGTTTACTGACTGCCTTTTTCTCATTATTCAAAATAATCTAATACTCACTTCTCGCGGATGCGATCTCGAAGGCTGTTTCCGAGCACGCCCTCTATCGTACATATCTTCGTTCATTAAGCCTAACGATGAATTTTGAAAAATTGTATATAATTATTGAAGGTGTAATCTGTCTGGTTAGTGTTTGCCATTACATTTGTTTGATTTGGTCTTGGCAATTGGTATTTAAAGCAGTGGTGCTACAGATTCGCACAGAATTTCCCGTATTAGTTTTCTAGTTCCTTTGGTATCGGCTAGCTATTCTTGCCACATACTTTTGCCAGCTACTACCTATCGCCGTTGAAAGTACATTTTTTGACATTTCCTTAAATTTTCGTTTTCGTATTAGTAGAACAAATACATTATTTTAAGAATATTCAAGAACAGTAAAACTACGTCCTAAATGGCAATTTTCTTTGAAAAATTTGGATTTGTTTTTAAGAAAATGGCGTTTAAGCGCTTCTGTAAATGCGAAATTTGAACCTCTTTCAGAGAAATCTATTGATTTTTCGACAAACTTCATACAAAGTTATTTCAAGCACTTCCAGCCACAAATAGTGTGTAAAAACCGCTGGAAATGTTCATATTAAAGGCGTGAGTGATATTTAACAAAATACAATTGTGTACTTTGAGTAACTTTGAGTACTTTGAGTATGTCATCTTAAACAGTGCAGTTAGCACTTCACGTTAAAATAGTTTTAAGAAAACATTCCGAGCAGTTTTTGAGAAAATGGTGGTTGAGTGTTTCTGAAAATGTGAATTTTAAGCTAATTTAAACAGAAAACGGTTGAGTTTTCGAGAAACTTGACTATTTGACATTATTTGAAACACATGTACTCAAAAATAAATTGATGTGAACAAATTGCCGTTAAAAAAATACTAACGACGTGGGAGACAAATTAAAAATTACATTTTGTAATTTTTGAAAAAACAAAAGAATAGAGCAATATCGCGTTTATGCCATCTTATAGAGTGTATTTAGGACTATCTCTCTATCTTGCTCGCAATATTGCGCAAAAACTAGTAAAATTTTCAAGAAAAATGTAAATTATCTTAATTTAAAGAATTCACTATGGTGAATAAATTTTATTTGAAAGAAAAATCTCTCTCTACATCTTTTACTTATTAGAATATTATACACAATATAGGAAAAGTCATGTAATACTGCGGAAGTTCGAATTCCAAATTTCAACGGAAATACACGGTTTGGGATTCCCAAATACCGAAAAAGCGCTTATTCAAAACGTCCGTCTGTCTGTCCGACCATCCATCATTCTGTCTGAGCGTCCGTCCGTCCGTCCGTCCGTCCGTCCGTCCGTCCGTCCGTCCGTCCGTCCGTCCGTCCGTCCGTCTGGTGCCTGTGAACACTACTAGCGCCTAAACCTCGTGTAAGATTTTTCAAAATTGAAGAAACTCCTATCTCTCTGGCTCGAGTCGAAACTTTGAGGTCTCGGAGCACATTCTTCAAAATGTGGGGGTACTTACATCGAGCCCTCCAAATATTTTCAAAATTTTCTCAAAAACGTCAAAAAAATGTTCTTTAAATGTCTTGCAAGAATAGAGTAACATACACTTATAAACGTGGCATAGGTCCGATTTTCACCGTTAACTCTGAATTTTCGAAAATATCAACATTATGTTTTTTTTTCGGTTACAACTACGAAACTAAAGATTATAGATTTCTCCTTCAATAAAAATTTATTGAGTTAATTAATTTAGGCCATGTACATTTTTTTGAAAATTTTAGTAGTCTTTGCGCAATTCGCGTGCAATATGTACAATTTTTAAAAAATACAGAAACAAGGTTTTCTCAAAAACGGCTCCAAAGTTTTTCTTTAAACTTTCGATAGAGATAGTACTAAATGTACTCAATAAAATGACTTAAACGCCATATTGCTCCATTCTTTTGGTTTTTCAAAATTTGAAAAATGTATATTTTTATTTGTTTTTCGTGTCGTTAATATTTATATAAGGCAATTTATTTACATTATTGTATTCATGAGTAGATGTGCTTTTAATGTGACATAAAGTTTCTCGAAAACTGATCCGTTTTCTGAGAAAATTAGCCCCAAACTCTGCTTTTTCAAAAACGCTCAAACACCATTTATCTCATAAATGGCTCTAAATTTGTTCTTTAAACTTTCCGAACAGATAGTGATAATTGCACTCTTTAATATGACGTAAAGTTCATTTAGGGGTATTTTTTGCTTTTTCAAAAATTACACAAATGTAATTTTTATGACATATCACACTGTTAATATGCACATTTCCAGTAATTTGGAAACACTACTGTATTTGTGAGTTAATGTGCTCTCAAATGAGGATTTTCATAACTCAAAAATGTTCTGTAGAAAGAGCTTCAAATTTTGAGTTTACAGTAGCGTTTAAACGCAATTTTATTTAAAACTGCTCCAAATGTTTCAAAGGAAATTGCCATTTAGGACGAAGTTTCTCTGTAATTTAATATAATTAAAATAATATGGTGAGCGTCGAGCTATCGGGTTTCAGGCGAAGGCGAGTGCAAGTTGAGCAACAATGCGGCCAGAGACTGACAAGAATGACACATAAGCTATTGATACCTCGAAAACGTTGATTAATATTTCAGATGAAGGTAACTTAAGAGACAGGAAACGCTTTCCACTGAGCGAGATCTTGCGCGTTTTGAAAACCAAACCACACGGTAGCTAGGAGCAATCTGCAGTACGAAATCTCCCGGACTGTTCAAAAGCCGTAGGTAGTGTCGAATCGCAATGAATATCGATGTAGACTTTAATAGTCATGCAAAGGAGATTAATAGTCAAATAATATTTTTTAGATCTATCTGTCAAATAAATTACAAATTAAATGTTTGATGTATTATTGCTTCTATAATTTTCAATTTTGAAAGTTTTGTGAATTTGACTTCACATTCGAGTTCAACGACCCCAAAAAGACCTTATTTGACATTTGGCCAGATTCTTGAGTTTTCTTCTGTGCTCGACCTGACGAATGCAGTGATCGCTCCTTTTACCACTCGCATCCTGGTGTAAATTGCGATGGCTATACAATACTAGTCAATTCACATTAATTCATGCCTTAATTTACGGGACGAGGTTCAGGTCATCAGGCCCGCTCTTCCGTCTGACCTCGCAAATTTCACTACACTCCTTTCATCATCTACCGAAGAAAGAAGGTATCAGAACCATACAACTTGAAATATCTGAGATACTTCTTATAGAATTAAAACTCTTTTACATGTAGTAACACTAAAACATTACTCCCACTCCGAAGGAATGCGTACGAATAATTTTTGCCCTTAAAATCCACGGCTTCGATCAGATTTGAACCCGCACGCTCGGATACAACAGTCCGTTACGCTAAGCGCTATTTCACTGAAGCCGCTAGTGCGATAGACTCTCGTGGCTTGTGTGTTCGTTTCGGCCTAGGTGTGTCAGCGCAACACCGTCTAGAGAAGACCGCCAGAGCAACACCGTCAACTCTGGGAAGTATTCTTCAGAGCCAAGAGAGCCCTCGCGGCGGAAGGTCTCGCAAAAAATGGAATACATTAAAGATTAATATCCTTTCGCTGATTTGTCCTGTGTCTTTCCAGCCTGTTGTTTCGATTATTCACAGCAGTGGTTGATTGATGGGCCGCCGTGTACCCTCTGTGCGCAGGTGAACACGGTGTGGGTGTCGTGCGAGGGCGAGAACCCGGCCGACGTGGAGAACATCGGCCCCATCCAGTACTTCCCCGGGCGCGGCTTCCCGGGCTACTTCTTCCCGTTCCAGAACAACAAGGGCTACCTCAGCCCGCTCGTCGCCGTGTGGTTCGAGCACCCGGCCAGTGAGTAGCGCGAGCGAGGCGCTTCGCGGCGGGGCGAGCGGCGCTTGACCCGAGCCTGACGCGCCGCTTGTGTTTCAGCCGGCGTGCTCATCAACATCGAGTGCAAGGCGTGGGCCAAGAACATCGTGCACGACCGCCTGGAGCGCCGGGGCTCCGTGCACTTCGAGATGATGATCGACTGAGCGGCCGAGGGCGTGGCGGGGCCTCGCCCGGCGAGCGACGGGCGCTGAACGCGGGGCGAGGGCGAGGGCGGGAGCGAGGGTGAAGGCGTGGACGGGGGCGTGGCGCGGGGCGGGGGCGGGGCGGGGCGGAGGCGTGCCCAAGTCACCCTGTTCTGCAGCAGAAGACTAGCTCTACTCCAGGCCGCTTCTCACAACAGAGTTTTCGTCCAGACCAATGTTTCTCAAAGCGTGCTCAGAGCCGTGCGCCGACACCAACCAAATTAACATCATTAGGCGTGTTTGAAATGTGTATTAAAAACAATGTGCCTACTGTTTAAATGAAAACGCTGTGTGTGTATCCTACCTTGCTTGTTGTTAAAGTGAAATGTAATTTTCCCTTGCACTTCAAGGGAAAACTGTCATTTGACGAAATGTACTGATATTGATATAAGTGATTTTTTATATCTTTTCCTGAAGAGGAAAAATTAGAAACATGCCTATTGTTTCAAAGTGATAGCACACTTTTGAAAAGCGTCTTTTATTGCCATTGGTAAAAAGGTCAACTCATGACAAAGTTTGAGAAACACTGGTCGATATTCCCGTTGATAGTCGCGCACGTCGAGTAACGACATCCGTGTAGTCTGTCGACACCGCGAGAGCAAAAGCGGAGGTTCACTCAATTCCCTCATTTTTTACTTTTCTTCCGCTCTTCTGTATTTCTTTCTATTCTCAGATAACTTTGTGCCAGTTTTTGTCTCTGTGGGCTCATTCCTAAATGTATCTCATTCCGTATTTTTTTCTTCTTTTACATCACTTCTGTCCATATATTATTGTATCTCTTATAACCACTGTGCCTATCACTTGGTAGATTATTTTCTTCAAATACAACTAATTGGGTCTTTTTCTTTTTTTTTGAGTGAAGCAACAGGGTTGCTGTTCAGAAAGTAGCGACTCGCATTCCCCGTAAGTCATTCACTGACATATTCACTCGCATGTGTGTATTTTTCATGGCTGATTATTGTATTTTGCCGTGTTTGTAAAGAATATTAAGACTTCACATTACATTTCGTATTTTGTCTTCTCGCATTTTTCTCCAGAACTGGGCAGTAGACTTTCTGCACGAATGCGGAAAGGTGTAAAGCTGCTTACAACAATTTGTCCCGTCTCTGACGAGAAATATAGTTCATAGATAAGTTTTTAGTAATACCATTACTAAGCATTTATTACGCGCTTTACTACTTTCATAATTATTAAAAATCTCAAACGTTTTCAATGAATCAAAGTGTCGTACTTTCTAATCGCTCTATTTGTAATGGATCTCACTCAACTTCTGTTTAATTTTTTAAATAAAAAATGTTTACTACGCAATTCAATTCCATTAAATCATTTCTCTAAACAAGGTGCCAGAATTTAAATGTCTGAAAAACTGGGAGGTGATGTAAAAATTGTTGAACAACACAAGACGTTTTCAAAGACCTTCGAACAAACTACTACAAGGTATTCCGGGTACATCCAAAATTAAAACGAACGTTCTTAGCACAATTTGAAAAGAAATTAATCGCAAACATCAATTTTGAAATAAAATAAGATACATGCTCTTTTAAGCCATACTTTTCAAAGAAACAACAATTTCAAATTAATCAGAGAAAACAAGGAAATGAAATGCGGATTATTCCTGCCAATATTTGAATCTATCCTTTATTTCTCAAACTTTACCATTAATGTTCGTGTCCTTCAAACAGTGTAATAACCAAATTAATTGTTATAAACGAAAACCGAAATAAAAAACCTTCGATTAGCTCCCTCACCTAAGAAGATGAGAAGCATTGCTCTACTGAAACTTCCGCGTGTAATGAAGACATGTGGATCATGCAAACGTAGTATAATTACTGAACGCTTCTCCGACACATGAAAACAACAGGATCAACTGTCTCTTCCTGAAGTTGCTCTTCGCTGTTGTACATTCGTGAGCCGACTTCCTCTTGACAAATTCAGCTCTCTTGAAAAGGTTTATCGTACTATTTTCTTTTCTTACTTATCTGTTTGCAATATCTGTGATACTAAGAAAAGCCTCATTTCGCTGCTCGGATTGAAATGCCGCTTGTGTTGTGAAAAATATAACGGTTCTGTAACTTACAGCATGTATTTTCGGCAAGAATTTATTCAAAGATCGTATTGAAATTACGATGATGAGAGAACGGTCTGATGCTCCAAATGAAAATTGTTTTCCTCTTGGGTTGCATTTAAAGGCTACTTTACACAATTCAATGTTCATCCAAATTTCATTCAGATACTGTTAAGGAAATGGTCTATTTGCACGTTATTACCAAGCTTGTAATGTACGCAGTTTATAACTGAACGTCAAAAACTATAAAGAAAAGCATCACCCGGTCGGTATTTGCCACTATTTTCCGAGTTGCAAATTGATGTTTATAAACAATGTCTTATTAAGTCATAATGCATAGAGATATTTTAAAACTTTTTAGACATAATGATTGGGGCGATGTCCATTTAAAATGATTAAACATAAAATTTTGTTAATTAATTGAACTTTTTTAACTTGGTAATAATGTCTCCATTTTTATTCATAAATCCGACGCTGGAAATTGACTGCAAATATGATTTCGACATAGCAATATACAAAATTGTATTCGTGTGCTGAGCGTAACCTTGAAATGAAATCAGGTACACAAACTGTTCGACGTTAAATAAACAAATAAATTGGAATCTCCCGTTGGAAATTGGTATCGCGTGTTGTTGCCAGCCGTGCAAGAGTCACAAGACGAATTTCGTCCGAAAAACTGAAACGCGCTCGAACGTTCTCATAAAGAAATTTCACAGGTTAAACTCTGTGCGTTCTTCGTGATCGCGCTGTCAAGGAGCAACCTGCGAAGTAATCTCTAGCGCGCCGATCGGCGACTTCGCCGCCCCTCCTCGTCCCGTCCCAGCGCTCCAGAGAGTCAGATCTCTCAACTCGTACCTCGGACACGTTGCTCCGTGCCATCTATGTACGCGTACTTGTTTATCTTCGCCACTTCTCCACAGTGTCGCTAGTCGTCGTAGTTTGACAGCACTTCAATATTCCTCACGGAAACCGAACGCTCTAGAGTTTTTTGACGGTCTTTGCGGTGACAGTAAACGACCGTCGAGCTGCGGCGCGTGTCTTTATGGTAGAGTTCAATACTAACGTTCGTTCAGTACTTGTTCAAACAATCTGACGACTAGCGTTGCGTTCTCTGTGCAAGAGCATTTCAGCAAGTTTATATCTTGCTGTTTTCTGGTGTTTTAGTTAGATTGCTAATACTTCTATTGATGGCCTTAAATATACATTCGTGAGCCTTCCGACCGGGCATCCGGGAGGCGCCGACAGCCGCTTCGAGCGCGGCGCGGCGACCTCCTGCGCGCGAGGTCGGACGGGCGATTCGTAGCCTGCCTTGGAAGCGGAGTGCGCTCCCTTCCCTTTTCTATTCGCATCCACTGCTGTACCCACTGGGCTTTTTAAACGGACCGCCGTGCCGCTTGAGATGCGCGTGTGTGTGTGCGTAGAGAAGTAGCAGCTCGTGGCGCTGGGCGTGCGACGTCCCACTGCGTTCACCCACTGGCATTTGTATTCTTTCATTTTTGTAAGTGGAGAGTTAGGCTGGACCTATCGGGCCCGCCCCCGGTCGGCGCTGCCCCGCCGGGCGGGCCCCTCGCAGATTGTGTTCTTCTCGTCTTGTAAATCGATTTTAAACTACTGTTAGAAGCGTAGCGTCGTTTTAAGCTGAAACAGAGTTGCCAACTTGCTCGAGCGCGCATTGGTGGAGCGAAGCTTCCGCCATCGCAGTCACTTAGACAGTTGTCGACCTCACCGATCGCGGCTTAGTATTATCAAATATTTAATTTCATTTTACAACAAATTTCAACTTTTTTGTTTGTAATTTATTCCTGCCAGATTTGTACTTTGGAAAAGTTTTCTATCATATCGTATTTTTGTCATGCTGTTGGCTAGTTGTGCCCACTAGTTAAGTTATTATTAAAAATATTGAAGCATATTTATTACGTGGAATGTGTATATCTGTAACATATAGTTTTAATCTTCATATTATTTGTAGTTTGAATATGAAAAGATGGGATTGAAATATATATCAATATTGTACCGCATAAATACTCTCTTTCCAGCAGAAACTTTCAAAATGTAAACGTCATGGACAAAGTGAAGTGTTTCTTGTGGGTTTCTTTCTTAAAATGTTAGGTTGTAGATCGGCAACTGTTCTGTCGCAATAAAAAACATGGCAGCAAAATTGGAACATGTAAAGCAATACAAGTACAATATTGAAACACCTACAATCAAGCGTTTTACTTAATTACTCCCTAGTACCCGTTCCTCATAGAATATGTAGCCACCATTATGAAAATAATAAATGATTCACGCAGAATGTTTCTGCATTGTAAATAAAAACTAGATGTCTATATTAAACTTCTTACTCACATCAGTCCATCAAAAAGTAATTGCATTGCTAGATTTGATGTCCTCCTTTCCAGCAATCTCGAGAAAATAGTGAAGACGGTCTGAAAATCAAGATTTCAAAAGTTTACCCACGGCTTTTGATACTCTTTTAAAAGTACAGAAAAATATGCAGGGTATAAGGTAAGTATTTCAGTAGCAAAGAGCAGATGCAATATTCAAATTCACACAGTGTATACTAAATAACTTTACATCGCTAAAATAAAAGGCAGAGGTTAACCCGCAGATCAATATCGGTGATATTCCGATTGCATCCTGCGGTCAACTTTTCCTTAGTCGTTTACCTAAAACACAAAAAATACACCCCGATTGCATACCGTTCGTCTTTCCTTGTGAGTGCCTGGAAAAGTTTGCCTACGTTTCAGTGCACAGAAGATAGCTTTCTACAGAAATGGTCCTTTTAACATTGTTCATTTTGTGTCATCTTGTATTGGTCAGAAATAGTAAAGAACTTGTTATTTATGCATCAAAGTTCAGTATTGAATTTTCTTCATTTATTGAAACTGATTTATACAGTCGACTCCGGCCATAGTGCACTTCTGGGGACTAACATGTTTGATTCACTATATCAGAGGTTCACTATATCCGATGATGTCAAAATTAAGTGGGATT